TTGGAGTGTGTTTTATTCCCTCACTTGTATTGTAGACCGAGGTATGCTGAATCTGTTCAACGGGATATGGCAGACGCTCCGGTACAATTTTCGATGAAGCGAAGTTTTATGTGTAAATGCCATAACAGTGAGATTATTGACTACCGTGTGAACAAGCAGTTGGTAGTTTTCCAGTATCAACGATACATATTTCGTACTGTTACTGGTGCAGTGGCAAGTGCTGGTCCTATGGCCCATGCAGGAAACGCAATCAATCAGAAGGCATTCAGTACGTTTTACTGGATTAAGCAGCTATATAAGTTGCAAGATGTGGTTAAGCAACGAGGTTTGCCGACTTTGTTTGTCACGTTCACAATTAATGAACGTTCTTTTCCTTGGTGCCAATGGTTATGGGACGACTTCAGTTTGCAGAATAATTTACCTGTTGATAATGCGGTTGGTGTGACTCTGCATGGACATCATATACTGGATCAAATCCTGAAAGGCCTGTTTGCTGGTAATGTACGTGAAGGTCGAGGATGTCCTACTGTTCTACGACATAACCGTAACGGACGTGAGTCTTTGGAATGTTTCTTTTATAAAATTGAATTTCAAATGCGTGGCACTCTACATGTCCATGCATTGTACTAGGTTTCTTCAGTAGAGGAGAGCGTTCTCATAACTGGTAGTCGAGACGATATTCCAGAAGAAGATCCCACAATTTGTGGTTTAGTGCGTACTATACAGATGCGTACTGTTTTTGTGGATGAACTTCGACGGTACTCTCCTCTACTGCTACGTGTACTACGCTCACACCATGACATACAGTATGGTACTCAGAGTGATCTGCTCCTAACATATGTGACTCACTATGTTTCCAAGGCTGCGGATGCATTAGATCTGAATAAAAGGTTATCCCTTGAAAGTGCCCATCAAGCAGTCCTAGGGTATTTGTCTAAGTTGTCTATTGGTCTTCCAGAGATGGTACACACTTTGTCTGATAATAAGAGTGCTTCTTTTTCCGGATTGGGTAAGGATATGACCTACCAAACTCCAGGTCAGAAGAGGGATGAAACTGTGGAAGTTATGTTGTATCGTTCGAGAGATGCGGCTGATGAAGATGTATCATTTTTGTCCTTTTGGCGTTCTCATTGCATAAAAGTCGTGAACGGTCAACGTGTTGCGAGTCTATATGTGAATGAGCCATTTGTAGCTTTAGGAATCAATCCTCCCAAGATAACCAATGAGTTATGGTGGGAATTCCTGGTCTTCACGGAAGTACATCATCGAAATGATGATGATCTGCGTCCAGCAGACTTTGCTCGTCTACCGCCTACTGTAGCTTACTTTGCACGTTCATCCACAAAAACAGTACGCATCTGTATAGTACGCACTAAACCACAAATTGTGGGATCTTCTTCTGGAATATCGTCTCGACTACCAGTTATGAGAACGCTCTCCTCTACTGCAGAAACCCAGTACAATGCATGGACATGTAGAGTGCCACGCATTTGAAATTCAATTTTATAAAAGAAACATTCCAAAGACTCACGTCCGTTACGGTTATGTCGTAGAACAGTAGGACATCCTCGACCTTCACGTACATTACCAGCAAACAGGCCTTTCAGGATTTGATCCAGTATATGATGTCCATGCAGAGTCACACCAACCGCATTATCAACAGGTAAATTATTCTGCAAACTGAAGTCGTCCCATAACCATTGGCACCAAGGAAAAGAACGTTCATTAATTGTGAACGTGACAAAAAAAGTCGGCAAACCTCGTTGCTTAACCACATCTTGCAACTTATATAGCTGCTTAATCCAGTAAAACGTACTGAATGCCTTCTGATTGATTGCGTTTCCTGCATGGGCCATAGGACCAGCACTTGCCACTGCACCAGTAACAGTACGAAATATGTATCGTTGATACTGGAAAACTACCAACTGCTTGTTCACACGGTAGTCAATAATCTCACTGTTATGGCATTTACACATAAAACTTCGCTTCATCGAAAATTGTACCGGAGCGTCTGCCATATCCCGTTGAACAGATTCAGCATACCTCGGTCTACAATACAAGTGAGGGAATAAAACACACTCCAATCCTTTTCGAGAAAGCGAAACTTCAGTCTCGAACCCATCAGGTGTCCATTGCTGAATGGCTTCCCGATAATACTCATTATGTGCAAGTAACCATAAATAGCACCACAGTAGAGCGTCACGCTTATCATCATCTGGTACTTCATTAATTCGTGTAAGTACTGAACAACGATGAGGTCTTAGAATCAACCTCCCAGTGAATATGCTATAACCCATATCAGCTGCTGCCGTACGGTTCATACGTGGCATGATCATCTCGATTGGCCGCAAACGTAGAATATCACGGTAGAACAGCTGTGTAGTTCTAAAGCATGGTGGAATATCATCATAACGTATATACGAATATACTTTATGAGCCACCACCGTAGTATTACACCATACGCATCTTCTCGGAGCTGGTTGATTTCGTGGTCTCACTTGGCCCAAAGTACTCACATCTCTACGACGAACTTGCATAGGTACAAAACAACGACAATGACCACAAACTCTCCAACTTGCAGTAGTACAGTACTCTTGCAATCTATCCTTTACCACACCAGTTCCAAAACCAACTCGTTTTTGATGAATATGATTAGCACGACGACGTTGGTCATACACTGTATTCCACTGCTCAATTTCATGTCGTTCCACATCGACTTGACTAGTGCGGTATAGGACAGCTCCTGGAATTTGAGACTTATGATCTTCTACAATAGCGTGAATTACCATTATGACTATCGAAGTACACCTGCAACATATAATGTAGTGAGCGTACACTCAACGCAACGACAGCTTCACTAAAAACTAACTGTCATATTAAGAGGCCGTCCTTTACGACGGGTACATTGAAAAAGATCAAGCAGTTAAACTTAGGTAGATGCAGACTCTGTTGACTCCTTACCTGGAAATCACAAACCAAGTTTAAATACGTTTCATAATCAAGGTTACCTCTTCTTCCTTTCCCTTTAGCAGCTCTCTTAGCTTTATTACCCGTTGGTGAAGCTTTACCAGTTGTGGAAGAGACCTTTGTCCCATTAGTCGAAGTCGTAGCCTTGTCCGCAGGCGTTTCGAGTAAACCAGCATTCAAAGCAGCTACCCTCGCCTTTGTTCGTTCCTGGATCCCCTCAGGGAGAGGTGGAACAGTCACGGCACTTACATCCTTCTTCGCAACATCACTCGCGCCATCACTCGAGGAAGAGCTTTCAGCATCGACTTCTTCAGTATCACTCCATTGCTTAGCTTGTGGAAGGACAGTTGACGGCTTCGAAGGAGTGGACTTCAAACCTACATGTCAATATAGCATATCACTCATCCACATTCTCACCAGTAGTTATTCGACTTAATGGACTTGGAGTCGAAGAAGTAGCAGCACCTTGTTGCTCTAACTGATGCTCTAATAACTGACGTACATGCATTCCCAACACGCCAGCTGCTTCAATCAAAGCTTTCTTCTCATCAGGACTCATACTATTCATATACTCCTCTGCACTGTTAAAGGAAGTTGCTGATAGTCTAGGCTTTTTGGCAGAGACGAAATCAAGGTTCACCGAGACATCCTTCTTTTTACGATCACTTCGTGCAAATACTTGTGAGAGATTACCAAAAGTTGGACTACTAACAAGGCTCTGTTGACTTGCAGCGACAGCAGCAGCAATACCACCATGGGAAGATCGTCCACTAACAGGAGATGTGGGCGTACCAAAGGCCGACTTAATCCCACTACGAGTAGTTTGCTTTCGAGCAACCTCCTTACCAACTTTGCGCGCCTTACACTGCGCATGAGCGCAAGCCGCAAAGTACTGAGACATAGTCGTTACATCGCCAGTTCCCTTCTTCAACTCATTGAAGTACTCATTGTTAGCAAGTTGAGCATCTCCCTTAAGAACGTAGTCACTACCATGATCCAAAATACTTAAGTAAATAAGTATATCTACACATAGGTTAGCCAGTGGAGTAATACATTCCAGTAAGGCCTCCATCTCTTTAATCATGCCAGCAGAATCAGCATGTCCATCTGGACGCAACATAGCCCAGTTACATAGCTCAGTAGTAAAAGTATACATTGCCGTAGCCACTTCCTCTTCATCATCCTCAATCTCACTATCTTGAAATTGGGTAACACTATTACCAATAGGCTGAATGATCTTGGCTGCATCACTCTCGATAATCAGAGTACGTAATGGTCTAAGTACTCCAGTGACATACTCGTTGTTAATCAAGTTTGTCATATTGTCGAACGAGTCGCAGAGCTCCTTTAAATCTTGCCCGAGAAAAGAGGCAGCATATCCAGGACGACGCAACCACTCACAGTTGTCACCATTAAGACTTTTCATAATATTATCACTAGTGGGCACCAACGAGGGAAAGAGACCATACTTTTGAACCAAGCACTGCGTACGCACGTCGGACCATTTAGTAGTGCCAGCACGCTTCTTAGTATCATCATTGTTGTTGTTCTTATTAAAGAACTGTCGACCACGTTGACCAAATGCAGACATTAATGACCAATAAAAACCTTTAGAACTGTAACTTCATATGAGCAACGCACTTTGCACAGGTACACCTCAATCCGAACAGTGTAGGCAATAGTAGACTAGCGCTAGATATCGACACATTGCGTGGCAAGCTACAACACAAAACGATGCTCTATGAAGTACGCAAGCTAGTACTCTGTTAACATGGGCAAACGTGAGTGTGCTTTAGTTCTCATGGTTCAACCTATGAGCAGGTCCATCATCATAGTA